CTGTACATACGGTAGTAGAAAGCCTAGAATGCACAACCCTGGATTCAATCCTCTCTACTGAAGAAGAAAATGAGTGACAAGGCAGCTTAGACTTGCTTTGACGTAATCCATAAAGGAAACATGGGCAGACAGCTGACAGCAGTCTGGTAGGCACCCAGGAGCCCTAGCAGCAACTTGGCTCTCAGCTCACTGCTCCAAGTTGCTGAATGTTTCTCTTACTTTTTTTTGAGATAGGATCTTATGCAACCCATTCTGACCATGAACTTTCTATGTAGCTGAGGATGGCCTTGAACCCCTGATCCTGACAAATTTCAATAATAAAATTTTTCTCCTGGCCTGGGTATGGCTCAGTGGTAGATAGAGTATGTGCTTTTCATGTTCGTGGCCCTAGGTTCAATGCCCTGCATTGGTGCTTCAAATTCCCAGCTGAGCTTAGGCCCTGAGAATTGGAGCTCACTGATTAGTTGAGGCTGGCCAGTCACCAAACCCCAGGGACCTCCTGTCTCTGCTTCTCTAACACTGAGATTACAGGAGTATGCTGCCATCCCTGGCTTTTTTAGATGGGTTCTGGGGAAACCAGAGTCACAGGCAGAAGATACACTTGTCCCAGTACACTCAGGCAACAAGGACAAAGCTTTGTCTCCCCAACAGCCCCAGCAGACACAATCCAAATACTTCAGCATTTACTCAACCAGAATTCAAACTGAACATCTTTAGCAAATACAGCTGCCATAATTGATTTTTAAAAAAAGATTTGTTTGTTTTGTTGTTTTTTGAGACAGGGTTTCTCTGTGTAGCCCTGACTGCCCTGGAACTCGATCTGTACACCAGGCTGGCCTTGAACTCAGAGATCACCCTGCTTCTGCATCCTGAGTGCTGGAATTAAAAGCATAAGCCACTTGGCCAAGGGCAGGCAGTTCAGACAGGGTATTGTATGTAACCTTGGCTGGTCTGGAACTCACTATGTAGACCAGACTGACTTCAAACTCCTCATAGAGATGAATGAACCTGCTTCTGCCTCCCAAGTGCTGGGATTACACCATACCTAGCTTAGATTTTTTTTTTTTAATTATATATATAGGTGTTTTGCTCACATCTGACTATGTACCATGTGTGCATAGTGCCCAAGGAGGCTGGAAAAGAGCACTGGATCCTTTGGAACTTGAACTGAGGCAGTTATAAGCTGTCATGGGGCTGCTGGGACTTGAACTCAGATCCTCCACAAGAGCAGCCAGTGCTCTTAACCACAGAGCCAACACTCTAGCACCATAACTGAATTTCTTAAGAACACATAATTGTGGGGCTGGAGAGATGACTCCAAGTTAGGAGCACTTGCTGCTCTTGCAGAGGACCCAGGTTCTATCCCCAGGACCCACATGACGGCTCACAACCAACCTTAACTCTAGTTCTAGGGATCCGGTGCCTTCTTCTAGTTCCTCTTTGGGAACAAGGCACACATGTGATGCATATACACACATGAAGATAAAACACACAAAATAAAAAGACTTAAAAGAAGAATATACAACTAGGCCATGCACACTGACACACCTGTCTCCCAATGTGCTTGCTTCCTAGTATTTGTAGTCCTAGCTGGTCTGGAACTTACTATGTAGAGACCAGGCTTGCCTTGAACTCACAGAGATCTGCCAGTCTTTGTTTTCCCTAATGCAGAAATACTGGTATGCAGCACCACGCCTTGCCCTTTGAGAGAGCAGATTTGAACAGGGCTTTCAATCCATCTTCAAAACAACAGGCATCACCATAAAGGAAAAACAAAGCCAAAGGCTAAGCAGGATTTTTCTCCAACTTTCCAAACATTTTAAATAATTCAAACTATTAAAAAGAAAAAGTTTTAGTCACAGTCTTAGTTTTCAGTGAAAACCAAGAAATAAACAAGCCAGGTGGTGGCGGCACATGCCTTTAATCCCAGCACTCAGGAGGCAGAGCCAGGTGGATCTCTGTGAGTTCGAGGCCAGCCTGGTCTACAGAGTGAGATCCAGGACAGGCATCAAAACAACAGAGAAACCCTGTCTCGGAATTAAAAAAAAAAAAAAAGAAAGAAACAGATGTGTGACAGGCAGGAGAGACAGGATCATCTGCAAAGGTGGTAACGACTACACACAGAGTATGTAATTTCTGGTCTGGTCTGTGACATTTGCTACCAGTGAGAAGTTTTTATCAATAAAATCAGCTAAGGCAGAGCTGTGCCTGCCCTCCCACGTGACCAAACCTAACTCATCTCAGGGACTTTCCAGAGCTCTCAAAGGGTGCAGCCAGGGACTTTCCAGCCTGCATGCCTGTAAAGCCACATGGCACCAAGCCCAAAGCCTGGCTGCAGTCCCTGGCCGTCAGTCAGAGGCCCACACAGCCACTGACCTCTAGTACCACAGGCCTGGAGGCAACAGAAATCCCAGAGGAATCTTGAGCCTAACAGTGCTGGGAACTATTTTTCCATCTGCCCCAGGGATCTCTCAAGCACCTTCAAGGGCAATAGGTTATACGGGGCCCCCATGCTCTACACCCACATTTTCCTGCATCCACCCTATTTCCCTAGGGGCCATCTCTTTCTGAGACAGCACTAGGCATTTCACTTTAAGAAGATACTGTGGACTAGGGCTCCTGATCAGGCCCTGACACCATGCTAGAAAAGAAGACCATAGTTTCTTGTTCACCCAAGTGAAGCCCAAACTGCTCAGCTTGCAAAATGAAACCCAAAGCCCGAGATCACAAAGTGTAATCAATCAACAGGACATGGGACACGTAGCCAGACCCATGGCAGACCACAGGAGAGAGGAGGTCTCACTAAGCAGCCCAGGCTACCCTTGAACTCATGATCCTCCCGTCTCAGCCTCACAAGAACTAGGATTAGATGTACATCACCATGACTAGCTGAGACAAAGCCTTTTTGAAGGTTGGTGACTGAGCCATCAAAGAGGAATGAGTAACCTGGTGGACTGGAGTGGCCTACCTAACCACCTGACCTCTGTGATGCAGAAGATGTCCAAAGGTGACCTGAGGCTCGCATTAGTGCTCCCACTACATTCGTATACACCATCAGTGTACCACCATTCGTACACTGCCTCTGCTACTGGCCTTTTAGATGTCTTTCCATGACCATGTAACAAACACACCCCCTTTTTTTTGGGGGGGGGGGTTGAGACAGGGTTTCTCTATGTAGCTTTGCACCTTTCCTGGAACTCACTCTGTAGCCCAGGCTGGCCTCAAACTCACGGAGTTCGCCTGCTCTGCCTCCTGAGTTCTGGGAGTAAAGGCATGTGCCACCACCACCCGGCTACAAATATACCCTTTACTTGAACAACTTCCCTCTGAGGCAGCCATGGTAGTGCTTGCCTTGAATCCCAGTACTCAGGAGGCAGGCAGACCTCTGTGAATCTCTGGACAACCAGGGCTATAGAGACCAATCCTGTCTAAAAAAACAAACAAACAAACAAACAAAACAAATAAGAAAAAGGAAAACCCCTGTGGGTATAACATACAACACAGAATCTCATGACTTTAGAAGCTGCAGTTTCCAACAGCCAATGTGATGCTACCCTGACGCTAGCTCCTTACTTAAGGTACCTCCAATTCCACATACCTCTGGGGTGAGAAGGAAACAGACATGGAAAGAAGTGACAAGCTCTGTGGTACAGGCCTGTGCTACACTATTTGGGTTTCAGAAAGAGTACTCTTTAAAAAAATAAAATAAAGAGACAAAAACAAAGGATTCTCTAGGTATGGCCTAGATTACAGGCATGTGGTGCCATACTCACATAAGGGAACACTTTCTAAGGAGCAATTCTTTTTTCACATACTTAGGCCAGTCCCAGCAGGAGTAGAGAACAGCTTCCCTGAGAACTGTTTTGTAGGGCCTGGAGAGATGGCTCAAAGGTTAAGATCACTGATTGCTCTTCCAGAGGACCTAGGTTCAATTCACAGCTCACAACTATCTGTAACTCCAGTTCCAAGGGTCTAACACATTCACAGACATACATGCATGAAAAACACAAATGCATATAAAATAAAAATAAACGAATTGTTTAAAAAAAAAGCGTCATGAAGCATGAAGTAGAACTCCCCAAAGCCCACTGCTGAAGATTCAGCCACCAGGCCAGAACAGAAATGTCTCTCTACCTCATATTCCTTCAAGGTTCCTTTCCAGGTGCATCCATCATTGGGACAGACAGCTGGTAGGCTCTCCACCTCCCTACGGGCAGCATTATCTGGAAAGGCCTGGAACAGGAACGTCCTTGGGTTACACCTTCTCCCAGCACCCTACTGCCTATGAAGCAACATCTAGATCAGAGACCCTACCCAAAACAACCTGTGCCACCCTCCTGGGCCAGCACATGAAGCAGAAGATAACTAAGGACCAGCTAAGCCATGTTTCCCAACCTTCCCCTCCTCCTGCCCAAACAGTCACGAGGCCACTTCTAGCTCCCAACTTCTCATTCTGTTACCAATGTTACTAAACAAGATTTCTAAATATTTTCTGTTCATTTTAGCTTGTTTAGCTCAATACAGTGTACTTACCGAACTACTCTCTAAAATAGAAATGCCTTCTTCATATAGGCCTTCATGGACACAGGCTGCACAATTCTGAGGCCCAGAGCTGGTGGGAACAGAGGAAACAGAAAACCCCACTGCAAAACTTGTAGCATGGATTAACTGAGCACTGCCTGCTCAGCCCACAACCCCGCTCCAGGCCACTCATTCTTAATTTTTCTCATCTTGATCAACAAGTATATCAACTGCCCAATATTTTAAAAATTCACAAATGAGAGGATTCAAACGTGGAAAAGGGTATCAGGACTCGAACTTGCAAGGCCGACTCATGTCTTCCTTTTTTCTTTTTGAATGTGTGACGTCAGGGGTTGAGGTATGGCTTCACAAATGCCACGTAAGTGCTTTATCAGGGAGCCTCAACTCCAGCCTCATTCCTTCCACTTGGGAACAAGGCACTGGCTCTCTGAAAACCTGACACTGAAACACACGTGTGGGTGTGTTTATCTTCTCCACAGGCACTGCTGCTGCCCTTCCATACCACTGCACGGTGACACACGTCAGCCAGCCACCCACACGACATTCAACCTATCTACCCAGAGCAGCCTAAGAGAGCTATAATCCTCACACTAAACTTTCCAACGTCTGTGAAACCAACAATGATGTATTATACTTAATCTCCCACGTCCAAAAATAATATTCTAATATATAGCCTATGTTCCCATCTGTGTGCGTGCATGTATGTGTTCATGTGTGAACACAGGTGCATACATGTGTATGTGGAAGCCAGGGGTCAAACATCAGGTATTCCTCCTCAGTACCATCCACCTTTTTTCAGACAGAACTCCCACAGTGCCCAGCACACACAGGTTTCTTAGGCTAGGCTAAGCAATGAGCCCCAAGACTCCTCCCGTCTGCAGACATATGATGTGATTACAAATGCACATTACCATGCCCTAGCTTTCACACAGGTGGAGGAGATCACTCACTGTACAGCAAGTACTTTCCCATCTGTCTATCCAGCTCCACTGTTAGGTTAAAATTGATTGTGTGTGTAAACATGTACCAAGGTGTGCAGGTCGAGGTCAGAGGACAACTGTGGGAGTTTAGCCCCTCCTTTCACTCTGTGTGGCCTTTGGGCTCAAACTCAGGTCCTTAGGCTTGGCAGCAAGTGCCTGAACCCACTGAGCCATCGCTCAGACTTTCGATGTTATTTTTGTTTTGTTTTGTTTTTTTCAGAGCTGAGGACCGAACCCAGGGCCTTGCGCTTGCTAGGCAAGCACTCTACCACTGAGCTAAAACCCCAACCCCTCGTTATTTTTTGAGACATAGATCTGAGGTTGGTTTTGAACTTACTATGTAGCCAATGATGACTTTGACTCTACCTCCCAAGAGTTGGGAACAAGAATATACTACTATACCTTGCTATGATCAATTCTGAATTCTTTTGTGTGTGTGTGTGTGTGTGTGTGTGTGTGTGTGTGTGTGTGTGTGTAGCTAAGGATTGAACCCAGGGCCTTGTGCTTGCTAGGCAAGCACTACCACTGAGCTAAGTCCCCCAGCCCCCCCCCCCTTTTTTGAGACAAAGTCTACGTAGCCCTTGAACTCACCTGTAGACTAGGCTGGCCTTGAATTCACAAAGATCCTTCTGCTTGTGCCTCCTGAGTGCTGGGGCTACAGGACTGTTCACCACACCCAGCTATAATCAATGTTCTTAAATGGTGGATTTTATATTCTTGGTTTGGGCTAAGCCTCCAGAATCCAAGGAGGATTTGTACTGGTAACCACTATTCTAGACAGTGCAATCTAACATCAGAGCCACCCACTTGCCCCTGCCCACCGGGCAGCATGCCATGCACACCTGAGGATGCTGGTCAGGCAGAAGGAACAGTAGCGGTGACCACACTGGGCCTGGAAGGGCCTCCGCAAGATGTTTCTGCAGGCTGAGCACAGGTACTTGGCTTCTAACTTGGTCCCCAGGAGGGTCTTGGAGAAGCCGGGCTGCAGCAGGTCTAGGGAGCCAGGGGGAGTCACACTGGCTGCAGCCATGTGAGTTATAACCCCACACGCCACAAAGCCCTAAAGAAAAACACAGACCATATCACACCTCAGTTCAGAATAATCCTCTAAAGCAGTGGTTCCAAACCTTCTTAATGCTTCAGTCCTTTAATACAGTTCCTCACGTGTGGTGACCCCAACCATAAAATTATCTTCGTTGCTACTTCATAGTTGTACTTTTGTTACTGTTATGAATCGTAATATAAATATCTGTTTTCTGATGGTCTTAGGCAACCCTTGTGAGTAGTTCCACCTCCAAATGGGTCACAACCCACAGGTTGAGAAGGACTGCTCTAGAGGGAAAAGGAAGATGGAGTCTACCAGGAGGCATATGATGAGGTGCCTGGGTCACTACACTGACCTTGAAAGAGGATCTAAGAAACAAGATTTAGGAGTTCTGGGAAGGCTTAAAGATAAGCCAAATACATCTCCTGCTACAAATGTGGGAAGATGTCAGCAGGGGTGACAGGGACCTGGTGGCACCCACAGTTACTACCCAACCCAAGAAGTTCCTACCTTCTGGCATCAAACCAACCCTGGCTGGAGCACTTCCTGCTGAAACTAATAGTGTCTTCCATCTATACCCATGGTCCCTACACTAAGCATGGTTTAAGCTGGTGGACAGCTTCCTTAGGTCCTAAACAGCACCCGGCGGTGGACATACTGGGCTTAGGTGTTCATCACTGTGCTCCCTAACTGCTATCAGTTCTCCACACACTGCAGTGAGCCCACAGCCCGCAGAGCCCCTCGTCTAGATCTGACACCTGCCATCCTCACCAAGATGTTTCCCTCAAAATCAACTACAGCCCGTTTCCCTGCCCTCCTCCCAGCATCACCCTCCATACCAGAAGAGCCCCTCTGCCCACTCCATCCTGCTTTCCTGTTCTATCAACTCTGGCTCTTCTTGCACCCCAGGCTCTTCCTTCATCCTCCAGCACAGCAGCCTCTACTGGGTTCCCTCAAAAGAGCAGGCTAGTCCCAATGAGGGCAAAGAGGTCTGGGGTGAGGGGTGGGAGGACGTGGGCATGGACTCCCAGGATCTTCGCTGCCAAGAAGGGGTTCAGTTTCAGAAGGGGAGTTTTAGGAAAAAGTTATGTGCCCTGGGATACAGATTAAGAAGTGTGTGGTAACTGAGATGTACTGGAGGCAGGAAGGCCATAAGCAGCAGGAGCAGCGACATTCCCAGAGTCCTCTCTTCCCAGCAAACCCGTCATGTTTCATTTAATTAACAAATCACCTCTTAGAACCATTCCCACATTTAAATCCCAGAGGCAGTTCTCCGGCTCCAGGACAAGGGCAGCATTGGTTGCCTCCCTCAAACGCTGCTGGCCCGCTGACTTGCCTGCCCTGCTGTCTTGTCCCCCAAAGCCTTGGGGCACTCACATCCCGCACGGACAAGGCCCCATCAAGCAGTCAAGCACTGGTGGAAGGCTACAGTTTTGAGAAAACCAGAGTGTGGGTCTAGTGCCACATCGTAAGTCACCTGGTTCTAGGTCTACTGGCCTGCAAAAATGAGGCCTGGCCAGTCTGCCAAGGCCCTCCCTCCTCTTTCCTGCCAAATGCCCTCAGGATTACTTGCAGTTCTCCAGGGACTCATCAAGCCCATGGGTTCTGAGCCCACTCCTTGGCCACCTCTTGGTCAATCCTGCTAATTCTGCCTCCTCTGATGGACACCTATACCAAACACCATGCCCCGCAGTGGCGAGCCACACTCAGAAGAGGGACACCTGCGCAACCCCTCCACTGACTATGCCGATTCCACTGCTTCTTCCTACTGCTCCCAAACACTCCTGCCCTAGACCCTCCTTCAAACTCAATGTCACTTGCCTCTGCCGGTAATCGGGTGCTCAGAGTCCCAAGAGACCACAGAGACCCAGGCACCAACAGGACATGCCTGGTTATACACCAGCATGGCCTTTCAAAGCAAAATTCATTATCAAGATGACTGTTCCTGACAAGCAGCTTACTAACCTTTCAAGCACACCTTGATTCTGATTGCACATATTAAAACAACCCCACGCCATTCACGACGCACCAGGGACAGCTGTCACCTGCCACCTTCTTCTCATTCAACCAGTGGTTTTCAGATGACAGGCACCAGTATGACTGGTTTCTGGGAACCGACCCTCGGCTGAGGGTGTTGAGTTCAGAAGCAGGAGTCCTATTAGGACAAAGCCTAGCAGCCTGCAGAGCTTTCACGGAACTCCTCCGTGCTGTCTGCAGGTCTCCGCACATGTCCCCTGTGTACCTAGATGGGTAACTTAAGAGAGAGCCCAAGCAGAAGGCACTTTAACCCAGCACACTTGAAATCTAGGACAAGTTAAGTTCACACAGCTACTGTATCACAAACAGCATGTCATCTCCCCCTGATCACCTCTGGGAAACACTAGCACCACAATGACCCCACACTCTCATGGGTATGCTTTACCAAAGAGGCACATGGATGTCTAAGGCAGTGACTCCCGAAGTGGACCTGGCAAGACAGAGATGAGAGCTTCTATATGGAGCACCAGGACAAAGCTGTTGGGTGTCCCTAACCTGCTCACAGCTCACTCAGGCCCACATTCTCTCAATTCTTCTGCATATACAATCTAATGACTCCTCCATCCAAGTTCACAGAGCACATGTATAACCTCCATCTACTCTAACACCCAACAGGGCGGATAGCCCTGGGCAGGAGGGCAAACCTGACCTGTCCCTTTCTCTAAGGTGGATGCTTCTCCTTGTATCACACGTGCGTCTGCTCAGTCGAGGAAACTCAGTGAGACATCACATCAACAACGAACGAACTAACACAAAAACCCCAGCTGGCACAAAACAACCAGAGACATGAATGTAGGACAGGTTTCATAGGGAGTACTTCTGAGCTGTGTGTGGAGCACCAGTAATCAGAAGGCTTTTAAAATAGACACAAACTGTCAAAGAACCAAGTAATTCAATTAACAAAGTGTAGGGCTGAAGAGATGGTTCAGCAGTTAGGAGTACTTGCTGCTCCTCCAGAGGACCAGAGTTTGGTTCCCAGCACCCACAAGGTAATCAACAACCCACCTGTAACTCCAGTTCCAGGGGACCCAATGCCCTCATCTGGCCTCTGCAGACACTGTACACAAGTGCTGCACAGACGTCATGCAGATAAACACCAATTCACATAAAATAAAGACAAAAATTTTAATAACTTTAATTAAAAATTTGGGAGTGGTTGTGGTTTTGAGACAGAGTTTCTCCGTGTAGGCTTGGCTGTCCCAGAACTCCCTATGTAGATCCGCCTCCCTCTGCCCCCAAGTGCTGGGATTAAAGGGGTACACTACCACTGCATGACTAAGTAAAACATGCTTGAATTAAAAAAAAGGCCACAACACACAGCAGGGCTTTAACTTCCACATCTATCCTTCTCTCAGATATGCACCTCAGAATCTCTTCTCCTGTTTCAGTCTCACATATCTGGCAACACAGATTTAGATTTAAATGACTGACACTGACACACACACACACACACACACACACACACACAAGCACACACACACCTCAACACTCAAACATAACAAATGGATAGCTCCAGCCCTGACTGCATAGCTTCCCTCCTGCCACTGTGGCCTCCTGGGAGCCAGAGGGACCTTTACCACAGCATGAAGTCTGGGCCTCTACTCAGCTCAGAACGTCAGTGCTTTCCCAGCTCTGGTCATGAAACCTAAAGCTGCCCAACTGCACCTGTCTTCCCTACCCCTGGCTCCCAACAGTTCCTACGGGTCTGCACCATGCCCATCCTGCATGCCTTACTCCCAGGACTGGCTGTCAGAAGGCAAAGATACAGAGCTAGAAAGAGGGAGGAGGGGCCGGCTTCTACAGCTCTCCCTCCTGGTGGCCGCTGGGGCAGCAGCCCTTCACTAATGGCTGCAGCCACATCAATAACTAGACAGCCAGCTCAGCTAGCTCTGGCACACAGCACACAATCCCACTTCTGTGACAACTGGTCCAGCCTGTCAAACTCACCTCCTCACCCAACCCATGCCCTCTGCTCTAAACAGAGCACCCCAACTCTGAGACATGTGCCCAATTCCAAATCCTTGATTTTCTTGTGGTCAAGTTTCCAGTTCCCATCCACCTCAATTACAACCTGCCCCAAGTACCAACTACACTGCCCACCTGGGTCCCAGATCCTAGGTACAGACAGCACCCATTGGGTCTCCTCCCTATGGACAGGAGCAGGGCGAGCACAGTACTCAGTGAAATGATGGATGCCCAGTGTGGCATCCAGGTGGAGCCTCCACCAACTGTAAAAGGGCAGGCCAGTAAACAGGGAGGAAGACGTCCAACCTAAGCCTTGAAGCTGCACACCTCATCTTTGGGATAATCTGTAGAACCTATGGGCAATTTTTTTCTTCTTCTCCAGGTTATCTTGTCCACGCCTGTACAAGCTCACAACTTCCCATAGAACCCACCTGCCAAGCCATTCTCACAATTTATGTAACGACCACACAGGAAGTGGGGGCCTGGCATTCCACTGTCAAGAAGGAACCCCAAGGAGTGAGGTGAGAGGGAGGAAGCACTTCCTTCTTGGAAGGCCTTCTCTAAGTGGACGGCCGCGGTTCCCGTGCGCAGCCCAGCCTGCTACTCCTTTATGGGTGCAGGAGGAATCACAGCCCAGGGATTCCTAGGGGGCTCTGACGGAAAGCGCCCAATGTGCTGCAGCCCAGGAGCCAGAAGACTGGATGAGCATGCGCAGCCTTCACTCTAGACCTTTCCAAGCTCCCATCGGCCATCAGGTGTGTGGAGGAACTGAGGCCCAAGCCCTGCCCCACGATGACCAGCAAACAGGAAAGAGTAACAGGGTTCCTGGCAGCCTGCACTGTCAGAGAACAGTCTGTCCAGTTCTGGGGTGGGGGTGGGGGGTGCTAGGGGGTCCCAGGAAAAGAAACAGCAGCTACACAAGCACCTCCCAGACCTGCCCTGCAGTTCAGACCAGGGAGACACTACCGCTGGAAGCACTCAGCCTTCCAGCTACGCACACAAGGCTTGATAAAGAACTACCCTTGAGCCAGGCGGTGGTGGTGCAAACCTTTAATTTCAGCACTTGGGAGGCAGAGGCAGGAAGAAGATCTCTTCTGAGTTCGAGGCCAACCTGGTCTACAGAGCTAGTTCTAGGACAGCCAGGGCCACACAGAGAAACCCTGTCTCGGGGGGGGGGGGGGGGGGAAAAAAACAAAAGCAAGCAAACAAACAAAACAGCCCTTGAGCTTGCGCTTTTGTTAAAACTCCAAAGTGCTTATAAATGCTGTGATATGCAAAGTGTGCAGCAATAAAGCTGAGTTTTTAAAGACTTCAACACCAATTCAGGATTGGTTGGGGCCTCCACCCAGTAACAGTAACTTTGGGTCACTAAATATCACAGGCATGGGGCACTCTGGCAAGGCCCAAGAGTGACCTCTCTGGGCGACTGGTAGCCAGGAACAGAGGACTTCTAGCTAGTGAGCTGCACGCAAGACGACCTTGCACTGTGCCCAAGGGGCCGAAAGTTTCCTGAGTCCCCCAACTCTGTGCTTCTTCGACTTTAGGGCCAGCAGGGAGTATGCCTTTGGGTTCTAATCAACCTCATGTCCTCACTACTACTCGGGGCTTCGTGTCCATCGTGAAGTACCCACCAGGTCCAACCTCCACTAAGCCACCCACAGGGAAGGGGGCTAGGGGGAAGGGGGAGTCCGTGGGTTGTGGAGTCGAGTGTCAAAAGAGTCCGAAAAGGCGACGCCTGAGTCCTGGGAGTGTCAGACCTAATCTGACCCCACAGGTCCAAAAGCCGAAGCCTTTGGTGGGGAGGTGGGCGGTAAAGTGGCCTGGGAGACCAGGTGTTCGCACAAGAGCAGCCACCCTCGAGCCAGCAGGGCACAAGCGGGGCTCGTGGGTCCCACAGCCGGGACCCCGGACCGAGATCCGGAGAACGGACCGTGGTGCCGAGACCCAGAGCCATCGCGCCTAGGGCCGCGTAGCCACGCACCGCTGCCGACGTCGCGAACTTTTCCGGCCCCCCTCCCGCCGACTTTCAGTTTCCGGCTCCGCAAAACCCCCCCACTCCCGACGGCAGCCCCGCATCTGACCCCCGACCGCCACTCCCACCCCGCGCCTGACCCCGGCCCGACCCGCCGTGAGAGTCGACCCCCCGCTCAGATCCGCGCCGCCTCACCCAACGGTCTCCGCGCGCCCGGAACTCAGCGCCCGCCGGGAACCACCCCGCTGCCGCGGCCCGCCCCGCCTGACGGACAGGCGCACGAGCCTACCAGGAGCTCGCAGGGAGCGGCGGCAGGCGGCGATTTGTCAAATGGGCCTACCCTCTGACGGACGGAAGCAGGAACCTATCAGGAGCGAGCAGGGAGCCGCAGCGAGCGACGATTGGCCGGCGTCGCGCGGCGTGGTCCTAAGCATGTTTCCCGGCTTCTTAGCAAAGTCGAGGAGGGGCTGACGTGAGCTCTCGTGGGTTGGCATAGGCTCTCCTGGAACATTCGTGCTCCTAAGACATACCTGGTGCTCTGGAGATCAGAGGGTAAAGTCACTTGCCACCAAGCTTGATGACCCGAGTTCGGTCTCTGGGGTCCACATCATGGACGGAGAGCAAGGAATCGTACGTTATTTAATCACACATGCACACGCGGAATCTTTCTTTCTTTTTTTTTAAATGTGTATGAATGTTTGCCTGCATGTTTGTATGCATGTGGGTGAATGGTGTCCTAAAGCCCAGAAGACAACAACGGATCCCTTGGAACTGGAGTTACAGACATTTACGAACTGCTGGGTGCTGAGAACTGAACCCAGCCAGTACTCTGCAAGAGCAACAGGTGGTCTTCACCATTAAGCCGTCTCTCTAGCCCCTCCTGTTTAATAGATCTCACCTGGAGGCTGGGGAAACGGATGGGCAAGAGTACTTGCTGCCCAAGCGTGATAGACTGAGTTCAGATCCACACCCATGTCTCTTTAAAAAGCTGGGTGTGTATTATTCTTTCAGAAGAGACGGGATAGTTTAGTGTGGCTTACTGGATGTCAACCTAGCTCCAGGTTCAGGGAGAAACCTCAAAGGAATAAGAAAGCTGTGGTGGCACATACCTTTAATCCTAGCACTTGGGAGGCAGGGGCAGGTGGATCTCTGAATTAGAGGCCTTGCTTGGTCTACAAAGTGAGTTCAAGAACAGCCAAAACTACACAGAGAAACCCTGTCTCGAACCCTCCACCCCACCCCCAAGGAGAGTGATAAAGCAGGATATCTAATGTTGTCTGGCCTTTGAATATGTGATACACACACACACACACACACACACACTACACACATACCATGTATACATAACACCACACACATATGTATACACACAAAATAATTAGATTTCACCAGTCTTCTACACCAGATATATACAACCTGCTGCTTGTATCCCAGGATGGCCATGAATGCATCCCAATGCTTGTAGATGTTATATCACAATGTCAAAAGGATGGACACTTCTGCACTGTACTCTCCGAGTCCCATCTGTGTTCATTCTGTAACTGACTTTGAGAGATAATTGTGCCCTTCTCTTTGGCTATTAGACTCTTAATGTACCCCAAGAAACTGAAATATTTTCCAGGAATCTCATGCAGGAGAAAGGAAAAAGTTGAAGCCTAGGCCAACCAAAGCAGAAACTTGTCTCCTGGAAAGAGATTTGCAGCTTCAGGCCATCTTGCAGGGTAGACGGGAGCTGAGACAATGAGATGGGTCAGTGATGGGCAAGACCACACTTTGACCCAGCCTACTTAGTGATTCACAACTCTGGACTCTACTTGAAGTTAAACTTCATGCAGGACCCTGAAGGTGGATGTGGGGGAGGCTGTGTCACTGGATCGCTTTTTTTTTTTTTTTTTAGACAGGGTTTCTCTGTGTAACAGCCATGGTTGTCCTGAAATTTTTGATCTTTAGACCAGACTGGCCTCAAACTCACAGAAATCCACCTGCCTCTGCCTCCTGAGTGCTGGGATTAAGGGTGT